TGGCAGACTCGACTCGGCCGTTTGTGAATCATTTGTGAAGCACGTGTTGGGCATGGTCGAGCACAAGGAGACTGTGCAAGTTTTTATTAGTCTTGTTTTCTCAAAAATCGCACCTTTAACCACGTTAGTTCCGGTTTTACTTGTGCAGTTATTGCGACTTGGACGAAGTGTTACGACTGCATAAACGCCGCGATTTTCCACGGATGCTTCTGGAGCATCGCTTTATGTGCCTGTTATTCATATGTATATTCACTTTGTGTGAGATACGTTAACCAACGGTCATATTCGCTTTCCAAAGAGTGCAACCCAGAAAAATTAAAACAACCCAAACACTGGTTCGTAAAACTATACAAGTTTAGAAGGAGCTTACGAAAAGAATTTGAAATTGGTATTTTCAATTCGCTCGTTTCTTCCTAGACCGAAACACAACAATCCTTGCATAATCTTGAACCCGTAAATTTACGTCTGTCATGCGGCGTTTTCGTATATCATGTACCTATTTTTTGACGAATTGTTCTTACCAGATGAAAATGCGTGCAGTCTTCACTAACAATCTCGTCTGTTTAAGATAGATTTTCGAATGACCAGACTTCTGTCATCACAGGTTTTACTTTCTTTAACTCACAAACTTTCTATTACTACCATCTTTCGTTTATGTTTAACGTTAAGATAAACTTGAATAGCATTAGAGACTTCAATACACAGACATTTCGAAAAGAGTATTTTTTTCAAGTCTGTACAAACGTTCGTACACACTTAAAGAAGGAAATACTTTTTTCGAAACGTCTTTGTATGAAAGATTCTATTGTTATTCAAAATTCTCTTAACGTTTTTAATTTCTTTATGAAATATATTTTAGTGCATTCGGTTTATTTTTCAAGAAACAGGGTATAAGACATCGTTCGAGGCATCAGTTATAGATCTATCAATCGAGACGCCGAATGTTTGACTCTTAGAGATAAACCTAACAAAGCAATAAAAAATAATATCAATAGCTGAACTACAGATTCAATTTAAAATGTATGTCTTTTGATGTCTACGTGTTTGCCTTTTCTTGAATTTTTAAGTCACAATAGAAGAATTAGGAAAACTCACTAAGCCTATAATAATCACTGGAGAAAGAGAACAAGGGCGACAAAGGACAAACACAAATCTCCAAACACAGCTGGGTGACTGGTGCGCGACCAAGCAAATCCGCCTGGTCCTGGTACCGAACCAGATAACTCTCCATTTCCAGTGGAGCGCTCTACCAACTTAGCTAACCAGGGGTTAGACGTCAGTAGAGCAAACGGGTTTCATCAGCTGCCACCAGTCTGACACCAACAAGAGTTAAATGACCTGCATCTTTTAAGGTTACGATGATAATCCAATCAATGCAAAGGTGCAAGCAGGACAAGAGTCATGATAATAATCCCCGGAGAGGGGGACCGAGGGGGACAAAGGACAAAACACAAATCTCCAAACACAGCTTGGTGGCTGGTGCGCGACCGAAAAAATCCGACTGGTCCTATTATCGAACCAAAGACCTCTCTCCCTCTCCAGTGGAGCGCTGTCCAACTGAGGTCCCCGGTTCGATACCAGGACCAGGCGGACTTCTTCGTTCGCGCGCCAGTCATCTAGCTGTGTTTGGAGATTTGTGTTTGTCCTCTGTCCCCCTTGTTCCCCTTCTCCAGAGAATATTACCGTCATGCTTGTCCAGCTGGCTTGCACCTTTGCATTAATTCCATTATTATCACTCACTGTGCAATTTGCTTTTCAATATAAATCCACCAGGAGCCAGTTTTGAGATCTGAAGTGGAAATTCAAGTTTATCTATAATGTAATTGACTTAAATCTGCATCTCCGTTATGTTGACAAATAAATACAACAGGGCCCAAATACGTACGCAACAAATGGTTGCCGTTAAACGGACATGTTTATTGCAAATTCTAGAAACTACAGCAATTAAATTTCAAAACTTTTACTCCTCCACGTGTCACTTCTTTATTTACAAAAGAGATGGCTTTTTGTTGCTGTAAACATTTCAGACTTGAGAACACAAAACATATGCCAGTTATCCCTCAACTTAAATATGTAGAGGCCTATAATCCAGTATTAGGTTGCTTGGTAAAAGCGGATTGTTAATGAAGAACACAACATTCCTTGCAGTGTTCATGAAGGTACTGGTAAAACCAGGGAATAAAAATACCAAATTATAAGGCTGCTTTATTCTACTTTAATATTACTTATTTTGCTACGATAAAAAATTCAACCGAATATGGTAATAACCTCATGTGACAGGCGGTCGTGCTTAAAAAGTCCACACGAATTAGGAAGGATATGAAACGTTCCCAAAATATTTGAATGGACACAACCGAAAAAAAAAAAAACTTGTGCACGCAAATTTTGTATGGCGGCGAAATAATAAAACATCTTGGAACATATTAAGTGCTATCGAAGTGTTGATTAGTTTCAATATCATGGCGACTGCACACCGTATAACAGCTTTAATGTCAAAATACCGTTCACTTAACAAAACAGTATTGCGAACTCCGTACGGTTAAAGGCTCGAATTTATTAAATACCTCTATATCATGTGCACCTAGACCAAACGGCTGGCTCAAGTGCATGAAAGATATTTTCGAACTATTTAGTCGTATACCGTTTTTTAAACACAACCTCAATCTAAACAAAAACTCCGACGAAATTCTGCAGAAGGCTAGAAAAAGAATCCGTAATCAAATATATTGAGGAATACAAACAAGTCTGAATAAAGACCACGTGTGCGTTAGGCGCACAATCACTTGCATTAAGATTTTATAGTGAATCAATTAAAGTTATACTAACTCTTGTGATCGGCTTGCTTTGCTGCTAACCGGACCTGTAGGAATTACAAGGAGTCAGCGGTTTCAAGAGCGAGCAACTGAATTTTGATTAGACGTAGACAAATACAAGTCGATAAACATATTTATGTAACTGTGTCTCTTGGCTCTCTGCCGCCGGGTCTCTGCGTGTTGTCTCTTGTGCCTCACCAAAAGGCGGTGCGCGCGAGGTGTGCGCGGCATAGCGCTTTTGACCACCGCGCTGACAGGACATGGCCGAATGGTCCGGCATCAGTCAAACGGGCCGACCAAGAACGAGGAAGCCGCCAGTATGCCCACAGCATTTATTTCATAAGGTTTGATAATGGAAGTTTTGCAACGGGTAAAAATGGTTTAAGTTAAGACGTATAAATCAAGCATCTGAAAAATGCAAGCACTCATTACACCTGTCCTGAAAATCAAAGGGTCAATTCATCAGCGGTCATACTCAAACTCAAGCGTGGAAAACGATGGCGGCGGCTGTTCGCAAACTATACATCACTGGCATGAACTGTTGCATAACTCAGGGTCACACTAAAGATGAGTCTCCCAAAAATGGACCTAACAGCATATCAAAACCTGTTTATATCTAAAGAAACAAACAATTACAGTAAAAGTATAATTACATAAATAATGAAATAATGCTCCAGCCAGCTTTTCGAGCGAGGTTGCATTTTAATATACATCGTTTGATTCAAATCGTTTTGGTATGCATCGATTCGTAGTTGGATTTGGCAGCTTCCCGCTTCACGGGGAGTTCCTGAAGTAACGTATTTTACAAACTACTTTACATGTGATCAAACCGGTTGCTATGTTCCTAACAACGAGCAGTCAGTCAGTCTCAGGGTGTTTCTTTGTGATTTGTTAGTCGGACAGTCTATATAGTACGACAAGATGTTGATAATGAATAGCAGATTAATTTCAATGATAGAAAAATGAAAGTTGCTTAAACTTCTAGCCATTCTTCATAGAATTTATTTCGCTCGTTGAAGAGCTTTGCGAATATGTCTAACTATGTAGCTGCCTCAAAGTCATTAAATCATCGCATTTATTATATGTATAGTCACTATTTTTAAGCACTCGGTTTTTTAAGGGGTAATTCGTTGTAACTCACCAACAGGCACCATAATTAATGACACATAAAAAGTTGTTCATTCGAAAATAGAGTACTCATATGTAATTTAGAATCCAGTGAAACTGCTTAAACTCGATATAAGAAATAATCCTATAAAAGCTCGAATTATAAATGATGGCTCCTTTCCGTGAAGTTTTATGCCTTATATTTAAGATGAAAGTTTGGGCTTGTCTTATTTGCCACAAGCCAGAACCTTCCTTTATAAGTACTCCGTAAACTGTACTTCGGCAACTTTTACTTTAAACTTACAATTTTTAAGAATATGAGCGCTCACACACTGATAGGTTTAAAAATAGCTATGCAGTAGGCAATTCGGACACGATTCAGGACCCAAACTTTCATGGTGAAAATTTCAGGCATGGCAGTGTATCAGTGTACATGTGGTTATTCTGATTATTACACCTCGCGCTGCATACAAAACTTGGCAAAGTCTTGTCAGTTCTTTTCCGCACTATTGTGAAGGCAACATTTTATTAATGCATAAAAACGTTTGGTGTATATTACGATCACAGTTTCCTTTGCCATAGCTAGATGTACTGGTCATGAATTAACTTTAATTGCGTCACTTATTTGTATACTCTTACTAAGTGCAGAAACTCGGTATATGCTGTCTAGTATTTCTATAATATAGTTTTGTAATTTGCAGTTATATAGCAGCATTTCTCTTAGAGTGGTGGTTCAGTTGATAAGCTTTAGGGAAACATAGCTGAACAGGCGCAATATTTAGTTCTATCAACTCATTCTGTAAACTTTTATTGTAATAAAGGCCTAAAACAGCCCTGCATAAAATATAATACTGGCACAACTATTAAGGTAATTCATTTCAGCGAGTCACTCCCTGATTTAAGCTGAAACCTTAACGCAACTGCTTCAAAAAAATGTCATTTTAGAGACAAATCAGCAAGCGACAGCACTGGAAATAAAATAATTTGATGTCTTAATCGTGCAAATCTTTTAATAACATGTAAGCATGGCGTGTGGCGGAGTGCGCCAACTTTGTTCTTTGTTTTTGTTCTCTTACGCAGGGAAGCATCTACGAGGAACGAATTCACGAGTTTTCGAAGAAGATAGGTCGGCGGATACAAGTCTTCAGCACTGGAGGAGGAATGTTTTCATCGTTTAATAAGTGAGAGCAGTAACGGACTATATATCTCTCTACGCGTAGCATGCGACATTCAAACTGAATCGTAACAAATGGAGACGAGAGGCAAAACATTAAGAAAGCCCTGGCAAGAACAGTAATTTAACATTAGAGTAAAGTCCTGCTTTTTTGTATTATTAACCTTGTTGGCATCTACTGCACATCACTTTTTTTGAATACCCATAAACAGAAACTAAGTGTCTGGGGAATTATATACCTCACATGGCTATTATACTGTACATGTTAGGGATCTGTACATGGTGCTTGACAACAGACCTTGCTACTCAGCTCTTTAACAAATACTTGGTCATGTAAATTAAAGACAATATTAGAACTTGAAGAACGTTAGACGTATTTATTTGTATATTTAGAATCTCCTAACATATAACTGCGTTAAAATAGAGTTCATATCCAGGCTACCAAAAACGTGTCTCGCCAATATACTATTCGTGTGCTTTAAAACAGTAAGACTTCCTCCATGAAGCATTGGGGTAATAATAAAAGTCAGCTAAAAGCTTCAATTAGATCATTATTGTCGTAATTTGTGATAATTTTGAAACCAACATGTTTGAGACATCCTTCAGACGCGAACACAGCAAACATGAAACGTGCCATAAATCTGCCATAAAAATTTAACTGGCACAACTATTAGTTTACTTCTTGATTTGCCACAAAACAAAACATATGCACTGATTAAGCTTTTATTTACTAAGTTATGTTGATTTTTTGCTAATGAGGTACCAACCATGCTCACATGCTGCAAGCAGACAACCCGAGCTGTGTGTGTCAAGTGCATGCTGAAGGAAGTACGTTTTCGGAAGCAAAGATGGTTATTAGCAATATCGGTGTCAAAATCGTGTTCAGATTTTAATTGCGGTCTGACGCCAGCAAAATCCGCATAATATATCTAGCTCTCGGTATACGTTTGTTTCTTTGGTACTTTAAACTTCCTAAACAAATAGCAAAACAAGCACGCAAACTGTGCGGATGTGGGGTTAGTTCGGTATGCAGCTTGGAGCGTGAGGCAAAGTGTTTTTTTTTTTATATGTTGGACGATATGCACAAGTTGTGTCGCCCAAATTTGACAGGGCATCATTACTAACATTAAGCGTAACATCTGTTGTCTGTATTGCATTGTTTCCAGAAAAATGTAAAACATAACAACTAGAACACTTCTCGTGTATATAAACGACCAGAATGCTCAATTAGTGACCATAGTCGAGGTAATAACAGCTTGTTAAAGAGAAAGAAATGTTCGTGTATATTTAAATAATATTCAGCAAAAACCGAGATGACATTGCATGTACTTAGTACATAGTAATAGTTACTCATGGCACAAGATTGCTTCCAGTGCTTGTGCTTGCGTGTTTTTTTTTTGTTTTTTTTTTTTGCGGTGGGGTGTGCGTGAGCCTGTTTGTCAGTCCGATCTTGGTGCGTTTGCGTGCGCGTGCTGCCAGCATATGTCTCTGCATGTCAGTACCCTGCAGTCTCCCGCAATATAAAAAAAACCCCGTTTGCCAAGGCACTTAATGCGGCTGCTAACCACACCTTGGCCGGAGACACTTTATGTATTTTTAGATATAAAATAGAAGAAAGCTTCGCGTATTTCATCACCTCAATCAGTGTGGGCCTGTCCCAAGCGAGGCCAGAAAAGTAGCCTGAAACTGCTCTGCCGGATGTGTCTTTAATATTGATGGAGGCTGTACGTCTGTGGGTGTGGGTGTTTATTCGTATTGTCACCGTGAGTGCGCAGGGCCGGACTATAAGGTCGGGAAGGGATAGGCAAAAAGGGAGGGGGGGGGGGGGGGGAAGGAAGGGGGGGGCCCGCCGACCGTTTTTTTTTTAAGTTTTTAAGAGCAACATTTTGAATAAAAAACAAAACGACATACGTAAGCTTTGTTTAAGGAAGATATGTTTAAATTTTGTTGAAATAGTAATATATTAAGTAAAAAAGATAGCTCTGGGCAACGCCTCACCCGTGACGTAACATGCGTCCGTGACATATCTCTCGCAGACCTCCCCCTCCCCCCACCAGCCTGACCATTAAATCACCCCTGTGAGTGTGCGTATGTCTTTTTGTATCTGGGCGTGTGTCAGTACCTTTGAGAGCATATGTGTGTGCTTGCGCGTTTGCCTGTGCATGCGCCTGTATATGTGCACGTCTGCTGCTTGTATATGTGCGAGAGTTTGTGTATAGTGATGTGTGTGAGTGTGTTCGTCATTCAACGGATGTCCGACAGTCAACGAATGTTGAGCGGTAGATACCATAACTCAAAAGAAACGTCTCTGTTGTTGCGTAATTTCAAGGAGAATAGCGAGCGTTTTTCTTTCAATCTTTTCTTCGCAAAAACTTGATGACGTAGCTTGGAGGTCGCAGTGTCGGCGTAGTCTCCCAGTGACGATATTTGAATGCGGCTCGTAGATTGAACCAGGACATTGCGTGAGCGCTCAATTTGAGCTCGTGATAATCAATAGCTCGAGAAGCATTCGGGTCGTGGCTCGTGTCTTATCGCTGTAATGACGACAATGGTCGAATCATAATAATGTCTGGAAGTTGGAACTCAGCACGTATTTTGTGCTTAGACAACTCCAGCGCGTGGCTATGATAAACATTTACGGCATATAATCGCCTCCAGATCATGTGGTCGCGTGTTCTGGCCGCGATTTGGGGGGGGGGGGGGGGGGGGGGGGGGGTTAGGGTTAAAGAATAAAGGGAAAAGCTGTTTTTTTTTTGTTTTTTTGTGACCATCATTACATGTGGAATAATAATAACGCGCTTTTCGTGGTGTATAAACATCACGGACTTTTTCCTAAGCTGTATTTGCTCTAAGTACAAAAATCTTTTCACCGCCTTTTTTAAATTTCGAATCACAATCTCTTTTTCCAATGATTGTAGATTTACTTACACAGATCTGATGCGACATTGCAATACCATGAGTGCTAAAATAATTCTGTTCTTCAGTTCCCCTTTTGCGGAGACCTTTTGCGGAGAAGTGTGCTGGCGCGAATGGACTCTTCCAAGTTTTTATAATAGCTGAGCTTTTTCTAGATTAAAGTATACTTAAAAAGCCTTTGGCCTGGTGAGACAACATTACAATGAAAGCATTGTTTCTCTCTCCGCAAGCATCCGTGAGCCATCGACTCTCTAGAGTGTCTCGCTTCTACTGCGAGAGGGAGTCGCTCTCAAAATAAACCAACTGAGTGCGCCCCCCTTTCGCGCTTTGCTGGAGCCTAGCATTCCTTCTTCTAGCCAGCTGACGCGGCGCCGTGTGCGGTGTGCACAGTACCTCCGCCCGTGACTGACTGATTTCGTAAAAGCGTGACGCCCCCGTGAGCCGACAGCCGCGAGGTGTGCACGCGAGCAATAGAAGTCTGCGAAAGACCCTCTCCCTAGTCGAGCGTTTTTTGTTGTTCCTTTTTCGCCCGCCTTTCTTTGCTTTTTTTGGGTGTCCATTGTTTTCACTATAGTAGCGACGGAGCCGCTGGAGCATGAATACAATGACCGATCACTGTCCGCCGCCGCGCGTTTTTTGTGTATCGGTCACGCGCGCACTTTCACCTCATTGAAAGCCACCGTACGCGAAATGTATTTCCGGGTGCCCGTCTGCTGCACTCAGCACTGTCACTGGTAATCGGGTATAGGAAGTATTCTCCGGCGGCCATAGCTGTGTGCGCGAATTCTGAGCGCGTGCTGATGGCGAACTTTTACCGTTTTTTTTGCAACGTGCATTCCGCACCCTCAAGAGTGCCGGTCTTCGCAGCCTATTCATGTGAGCTCGTTCTGAGCATGTGCTTTAAACAGCACCCAGAAATATGGCGTCCAGTTAAAACTTCCTATAGAAAGCGATGTCAGCTTATCTAACTCCGAGAGTGCTATTTTTGACTCCAGAACAGCTGCGACAAAGTTATATAGACCTTTTTTATACGAACGACATCTTGAATGTCGTCGCATCTGGTATGCGGTAAAACATCGTTTTGATCTCTCACGCCGCTGGAGGGTGTTTACGAAAAATACGTGATTGTCAAATATTATTTTTTTGGGCTCACCTATACCTTCTCGCATATTCCAAAATAAAATGTTCTTTTCGTCTTTTTTTTTTTTTTTGTCGCATATTAGATTTGGAACCCACGTGACTGGGAAGGACAGAAAACAGAAAACGTCTATAACCTTCCTTAACCGATCCGTCATTGATTCGGAATATGAACGCTTGCTTGCAATTCGCCGACGAGCAGAGCGCAAAGTGAGGCAGACAAAAGATCCAAATGACCTACGAGCAGCTCGAGAGGTCCAAAGACACACAGGGCAGCACGCGCAGAAACTTGGTTGGCAATTGCTCGAAATCCTGTTCGTGCTTCAATTTATTCCAAAAAGCCCTTTATACATATCTCGAGGATTGCACGTGGATTGAAACTCCACCACAACAATTACGTCCATTTGAGGATCTAGCTCTGCACAAAGAGTGTTCTGAAAAATATATCGCTGAAGATTTTTGTTCAATGCTCACTAGCTCATTATCTAACTTACAACATGGGTCCAGAAACGGTGTTGCGATTCCTCCCAGAACGGATGAAAAAATAAATGTCTCGTTCAGTATGCAAGAAATGGAAGCTACACTCGTCTTGTCAAATTCGAAATCGTCACCCTGCCCTGACAGTGTAAAGTATTCAGACAAAATTCACTTAGGATCCGAGGCGACGAAGACGAGGCTCTTAGCGCTGTTCAACATCTCACGGGAAACCAGTCTTGTACTTGCCAAATGGAAAAAGAGCAGGATAACTCCTCTACTTAACCCAGACAAGTCAATGCTCGATATATAGTTTTACCGCCCCATTGCTCTTGCAAGCTGTATAGGTAAACTGGCGGAGAAAATGAAACTCTTTCGCATCGAATGGTATCTAGATCGAAAGTGGTATTACTCAAATATGATGTCCGCATCTTGACCTGGTCGAAACTCCGTCTGCACTGTGATTAATCTCGTGACCTC